AAGCAATATAGACAACAAAAATAACCCAGTAGGTATTTATGGTTATACTTTATATTTGTACAGGACTTCAATGTTATAATTATACCTATTGAGAGTGAGGCAGAAAATATTCAATAACACCATTTCCTAGATTATAAAATAGAATCAGAAAGATGAAGTGACTGCCAAAGCTTCTCAAGATTTTAGTTCTCTTCCTTCCTTCTTTCTTATGTATGAGTCATGTGTTTTCTTCTTAACTGTGCAATGATAAAGAAAATATACAGGGTTTGTAGCATCACCAGAGGTAAGAAGGACATAAAACAGAGTAAATAATTATGAAATTATAAAAGAAAAAGATATGAAAAGTGATTGTGCCATGAGAATGATATGATTGGGGGATGCAGGGCAGCTTTCCTGATAAAGCTGAAGTTAAGCCAAGCCATTAAAAATGCCTGGCTAAGCAAATGAATAAATAGGGCTAGAAATGAAATTTCACAAGCAATCTGAATAGAACCTATAAAATTCCATATGCTACAAAGAACTAAGTGACTCAAGAAATTTAAGCAAAGCTAGAAAACAGGGACTGAAACTCAAGAGCATTCTGGAGAGGTAAGCCAAGACCAGAAACATACAGTCTCAGGGGCCTGTAAGGACTGAATGGAAAATGTAATAAAAACGAAGCAAAATAATATGAAAATGCAGACTTGGATTTCTAGTCTTCTACTTCACTATTTATCTTTGTATTATAAGACTTTGAGAAAAATAAAAGCACATGTTTCTACCTAAATCAAGGTCAGTTTATATTATGTGTGAGAGTCAACAAACCAACTGACTTTGCTTAAATAATGTGATACCAAACTGCAAAAGAGCCATTTTCTAGCACATGGTACTTGAAATAAACAAATACTGAGAGTCAGACAGCACTTATACTCAATGACTTGTCATATATCTGAGATTGACTTGCCTCTTATAACACACAAGAGAAAGAAATTTCAAAATTTTTAACAATGCAAAGATACTAGAAACATTTTAGTATCTTGAGCTAGCAGTGTTTTCATATTTTGAAATATAATGATGACAATGTTCATTAATATCATTGTTGAAGAGAATAGTGTAGTTGATATTCTATGAGTCAGTTAGCATCTTGCTGATTTACTTCCCTATTTCAATTTATAGGTAATTTTTTTCAGGTCTATATTTCTGATTTTCTATCCTGCGGTTTCTCATCTCTTGTTTAACCCAACCATTGAATTTTTAATTTCAGTGACTATAGATATTTTTTCATTTCTAGAAGTAAATTATATGTGTTTCTTTTCCAACCCTGGTTACTTTTGAATTTTAATATAGCATCTGTTTTATATTTTTTTCCCTATTTCTTCTTTATTCTTCAATCTTCTAATCATGCTTTTACAATTGTACATTTTAAACATATTTTTGTGATTTATGTGGTAAAAATATGATCACAGATTTTTGTGAATATAACATTTCTTTCAGGCTATCCTTTCTAGTTCTTTGTGTACTAATATTCTTATTTTTGTGGCTACTGGTTTCCTTTTGTAGTTATTTTTCTTTTGTGTACTTTACTTGCTTTGTGATGAGATCATTTTCAGTTGAAGTTGTATTGTTTTTCCTATGGCAATACCATTTCCTTGACTTGATGAAGAATTCCAACACATAAAGGGAGAATAAAAATGGATCCATTCCCATGTGGCACAAAGGTTTGGGGATTTGGTCCTACAGAAGGTAATAGCTTTTACCTACTCAGAACCTCTAAAAAAAAAATTTCTAGCTGCCTCTGCAGGCTTTCAGGAAAAATTGTCTATCCACCATTTCACTGTCTGGGCTTAAGTTTCCAAACTTTAGCCCTGATCTTAGAACTCAGACTTGTCTCCCACCCCTCCCCCCATGACCCCAGTTGCTCAGTTTAGCTTGAGCTCTTGCTTTTGCTTAACTTAGATTTCCCTCTTTAGTCTGACATCTAGGAATTTCCCTTTCTTTCTTGAATGTAAATGTTTATAAATGTATTTGCTATGTTTATGCAGTATATCTGTGTTTTTAAAAAAGCAAAAATGGGAAAAGTGATGTCCATATCAGCTCAGTATGTCATTTTACCAGCAGGAATAATAATACAGCCTCAACTGAAAATGCTCTCATCACCAAGCAGTAATTTAAAATTTATAATACCAAAAACAATTAAGCCCAACACTTCCTAATGAAGCCCTTTTTAAAAACGTCTTCACACTTCAGTGAGATATTTCTTTCTGATAAAAAATTATTTAAAAACTCATATGTTATAGTATAAGACAATGAAGATACAAATGTTTAAGATTAATATGAAGATGCATTTTGGAGATGAATACTTATATACACATTATTTCATATATGATTTATATTATTCCTATTTACAGATAAATACTTATTTAAAGTTACTAACTGATAATAAATATATGGACACTTATGTATATATTCTTCCCCTTCTGCCAAAACTCTGTCATTTGATTTGAATTTATATCTCCAATATTTTAGTCTATCAATAAAATTTTGCTTCTTAAAAAGCATTTTGATCCATGCTGTTTTTAACAATCAGTTGACATATCTATGTCAAATCATATTTTTATGAAACAGTATGCACTATCATACTGTTAGCATGATAGTTTCTTTCTTGAATGTAAGTGTTTATAAATTTATTTGCTATGTTTATGCTATGTTTAGTTTTTCCTATTCCTTCTTTGTTTATTCTTCAGTATTCTAATCATGCTTTTATAATTGTACATTTTAAACAGTATGAACTATCATACTGTTTCTTATTAGTGTACTTCTCTCTACACAAATAAGTGTCTTTTCAGTATATAAGTGGTATGTATATTTTGTTGAAATGCTAGGTTATTTCTTATTTTTTAAAAAGAGACTGTAGGCACTTAATTGTAGTACATTGCATGCACATTTTGATATAAATCATCATGCCGTATTGTGATATTATTGTGATGTGATATAATTTTCTGATATGTCATGTTATGTGCATATAATTTGTGATTTTTATAATTATGTAGACTGTTTCATGAAACTTGCTTTCTGCAAGTTTTTAATCCAAAGACAATTTAATTTACAAGAACTTAGAGTTTTCTATTTAAGATGTAACATGGTTGGAAGGCATTTATTTCAATGACGCTATTTACTTAATTTCTTATTCTCTTTTATAATTTCTTAATTGCTGTTTATTGTTGCATTTTAATTGTCTGTGTAGAGCTTCAAGTGTCTTCACAGGAGGCATTTTTCTTATTAGGGTTATAATCATTCTTGGTACAATATTGAGTTCGGCTGAGAGCAGGCACTGAGTAGCTCAAGGGGCTTTCCCTTGGAGCCCTGCTAATCACTACAGCTCTCTTGCTCTAGCCCTTCTCACTATATTTACCAAAGAAATGAACTTGCTTGTTACTCCCTTTCCTTGCAAATACTAGACATCACCATTGTATGAGTGGTAGGTATATAAAAATACTTTTTTTTCTTCCCTGCTTGATTTTCTGTATTCTAGGAACTCAGGAGGTTTCTTTTCCATTTTAAGCTCAGTATTGCCTGTCCTTTATTTGAGTGAGTGGTAAAGGTTAGAGATTTCTGTGGAGTTTTGAAAATAGAAGAAAGCACACACAAGTATGTTTTGATAAATACTAGAGAAGATGCACTAGGAGCCTGCAGAATTGCCCACAAAGACATACAAGAAGGAGAGGGGAGGTGTCCTTAAGCAGGCAATCACTCACACACCACTACACAATCTGGGTCGACATGAGCAATTTTTCATTTCAGATAATTTTGGAATGAAATGTAATAGATCTAGAAAATTTACTATATTCTAGGACATGGCAACTTTTTACTATGGGCTTGTGGACTTTTCTGCTTACTGTGTCCACAAGAGTATTATTGTTTCAGTAGTTCAAAATAGGTATCTAAATTGCCCCTGATGTAACATATACCTATTATGTAACTACTATTATATTTATCTTGTTATTCCAGACATTCTTGTCCCAATTAATACACACTTCATTAAAACTAATATTTGCTACTCATATTACAGCCTAAAGGTTGTGTATGTACACATATGCTCACATGTATCAAATCTAACTATATAATATTTTATAGCTGTCTAGAGAAGATGAATAGGCTAATAAAAATATTTTTAATAGGGATCCATCTTTAATTGAAAACAAAGAAAAAAGTAGTAACTTTCATTTTTACATTAGTATAGTATGCAAACTTTTTCAAAGAATGGTTCATTCTCTCAGCTAATGTAGTTATACACTGTCTGATCAGAATGTTATAGAACTCATTACCATAGCTAAAGTAAATCAATCTTTTCCTTTCTAACTTGTGCCTGCCTCTGTGTTTCTCAATGTTTATAAACTGCAGGTGTAATGCTTCCCTTGGTGTTAAGATGATGTGTAATTAGCATGTACAACAAATAAAATTGCATTTCTAAAATGACTCTTGGAAGAAAATATTGAGCCTTTAATCAATTCCATTAGGGCTTCTTACCTTTTTGATAATTAAACAGAAAAATTTGAATATATTGAGTATTTTAAGACTTATCTGGGTTCAAACTTTAGAAGCTTATTTAAAAATTCAGAATAAAACCCTTGATAGAATTCATTTCTGAATTAGATGCAAATGTATAATAGATTCGAATGCACTTTAGTTTTAAAGGGTTGCTATTTCTGGTGCCATATATTTTTAAATTAACACTGATTGGGAAATGGGTTGAAAGTGTTTTTGTTATAAAATAACATAGGTTTTAAACATGGTTTATTCTCTGTGCATTTGTAGGCTTGTAGATAAGTGCCTTATAAACATCTTGCTACAGTGAACCTAGTAGGCATTTAAAGACATTTGTAGAGTCACCACGTATAGAATAGATAGTGGATACTTCCTGAAGTCACTATAATTGCTTAATGCCAAGAAAATTAACAAAGAAGCCAAGAAAAATAACCTTTTACCTTGACAGTGGGACATTACTGGAATAAACAATGTACCTTGCAGTTACAGGGGCCAAAACAAGGGTCTTCATTTTTGCTCCCTAAGCCACTGCAGTTACAGGCTTTGCAGTCTGGGTAGCCAGTGTAGCCCCTGGCACAGCGATCACAGCTCACACCTCCAAAACCAGTTTTGCAATGACAGGATCCAGGTGCCAGACCTAAAGAAAGATGAGCCGCATATCAGCATTTTGTAAACAAATGCATAATTTAGTTCTTAAAGTTTTAATGATAGTAACCTTTAAAAGGTTATTTTGACACAAAAACAGATTTTTGATGTACGCCAATAAAGAAAAATTAACACCAAAGGGTATAGAGTTTAATTGAAAGCTTTCTATGATTTGGTGAATGCAGCATCTTCTAATTGTCAGTACAAATATCAAAAATGTAAACAAGAAAGATAAAGCCCCAAAGCATCTACCAAACTATGGCTATAGAAAACAATGATTAAGGAGTAATTTCCACAACTGCCAATGCTGATGACATGACAGGCAGAAGAATAAGCAGTAACTAATGCAAAACTAGTGGCTCATGAAACATGCCTGCCCCACCAGACTATCACAGGTGCAAAGTAGCTTTTGGAATAAAGACATACTACTTAAAACAACAATTTAACAATGATAATCCAAGAACATTGCTACCAACAGTATTTGCTGAATAAAATAAAGGTGTTCATGGGAATTGATATTTGGGGATAAGAAGCAATCGATGAGGGAAATGAAAACAGTTTAAATTTACTTTTTTTTAACATTGAAAATACAAAAGACAATGTTTATTCATGTCTTTGATTAGAAAAATAGAAAGATGCATGATAAATGAATACAACAAAATCTGGAGAATGATTAAAGCATATCAATAATATATAGGACCTCAGAACAAAGAAACGAGAGAAAAAAAGGCAAGGAAACGTTATGGAGAGAAAGCAGAAAGCAGAATTACAGAAACGGTGTCAGACATACATACTAAATATATATGAATGAGTTAAGCAGTCTTACTGTCCCTATTAAAAACATAAATGTAATGTGCACAAGAGATATATGAAATGAACAGGAATATTACAAATAAAAGAAAATGAGTATGTGTCAAGAAAGCATATGGAAAAGAAAAATGTTGTAAAATACTAATTAGGGTCAAAGTAGAACTCAGATAAAGTAGGTTCAACAAGACAAACTCTCATTTCATATTGATAAAAATACAATAAAAACATGATTTCAATTATTATGTTTATGCTTCAAATCAGCACTAATTATCAGTATAAAAATATATAGACAACAAAAGATATTGGAAATAAAAAGTTGAAAAGTCAATGGCTGAAAAGTGTACTAACTTATTCATCTTAAATATTTACAGATGAAGTAAAAAACAGAAGATTTGAATAATCTAATGACCTCGAATTACATGTGATGTGGTATATAACTATAAATATTTACCATAGTTTATGATTGACTATTCTATAAAAATTGTTCAGTTATTAAAGCAGAAATTATCTAAGGCTTCTTTTCTTAATATAAATTACTACTTTTAGATGTTTATCAAATGCCAGAAAAATTAGTATTAAATTAATTCCGAATATCAAACATAATGAGAGTATTTTATGAAAAATTCAACCATTCTAAAAATTAATGCCTAAATATTTCTCTTTAATAACTCTTGGGTTAAAGAGAAAAACAAGACTTTGATTAAAAATTGAATAGCTATCTAGGTAGAATATAATAGCAGTAAAAAAGGAACTTAATGTTTATCGGGTATGGAAAATCTGCAGCCAAAAGTAAATTTATAGGCTTAAATAGTCCATTATTTTAAAAAATACAAATATATTAAAATTTAATTCATATTAAGTATAAAAGAGAGAAAATATAAACACCACAGGAAATAAAGAGATTTAAAAAACAAAAAGAAAAGCAAGCAAAACGAAACCTTAAACAAACCTAATCAAGGCTATCAAAAGAGGACACATTATCAAAGAACTACAACAAAAATGTTTTAATGCTAGTTCACTTTTTTTTTATTATACTTAAGTTCTGGAATATGTTTGCAGAACATGGAATATGCAGGTTCGTTAAATAGGTATACATGTGCCATGGTGTTTTGCTACACCCATCAACCCATCATCTACATTTGGTATTTCTCCTAATGCTATCCCTCCCCTAGTCCCCATACCCTGACAGACCCTGGTGTGTGATATCCCCCTTCCTGTGTCCACATATTCTCATTGTTCAACTCCCACTTCTGAGAGAGAACATGAGGTGTTTGGTTTTCATTAATGTTAGTTAATTTTTACAGACTGTTTTCAAAACTTGAAACTCTTATAGTCATATAAAAAATGGAGAGCTAGCCAGGTGCAGTGGCTCACACCTAAAATCCCAGCATTTTGGGAGGCTGAGGCAGGCAGATCATGAGGGCAAGAGATCAAGGCCATCCTGGATAACATAGTGAAACCCCGTCTCTACTAAAAATACAAAAAATATTAGCTGGGTGTGGTCACACACACCTGCAATCTCAGCCTCTCAGGAGGCTGAGGCAGGACAATTGCTTGAACTAGGGAGTCAGAGGTTGCAGTGAGCTGAAGTTGCACCACTGTACTCCAGCCTGGGCACAGAGAGAGATTCAGTGTCAAAAAAAAAAAAAAAAAAAAAAAAAGAAAAGAAAAAAGAAAAGAAAAAGAAAAAAGAGAGAGAAAGAGAGAGAGAGAGTGAGCTATATAATTCAATTTATGAAGCTAGTTTTAACTTGATATCCAAATGCAAGAAAAAGATGACCCAAAATTAACAAAACTGGTAAGACTCAAAAAGCACTTACTTTTTGCTAGTCATTGTACCTAGCATTACACAAAATGCATGGGTTAATTCAGTTGGTACTCAAAACATCCCTATGAGATACACTTATTTCTCCCAATTCACAGATGAAGTAACTGGGACACAGAGTGATTTGCCAAAGGAGCACAACCGGTGAGTGTCTGAGTCACAGGCGATTTAATTTACCAATCCAGATGAGCAAATTACAAATAAAATAAACACTAAACTGAATCCTAAAGTACATTAAAAAGACCCTCTATCATGTCCAAGTAGAACATATTCTGGTAATATAAATACTGTTTAATATTAATAAGTTCATTTCCAATAGACCAAATGGAAAAGAAATCTGATAATTTTAATAAAGTTTGCAGAGGCATTAAATAGTTCAACATTTACTTATGATGTTAAAATTTCCAGACATTGAGGCTGAATGTAGAAGTACTCCATATATTAAACAATGCCTATCTTAACTTTTATTCCTGGAAGTATTGTAGACTAGATGTTCAAAGAACTCCCCTGTTTAGAACACTGGAAGATGTAGAATAAAATTAAATATAGAAAAGCAGATGAGTAGGTGGGTAGGTAGATAGATGATAGATAGATAGATAGGTAGATAGATAGATAGATAGATAGATGACAGATAATAGAATGGTTGTGCTGGTATGAAATAAAGAAACCCCATGGATATAGAAACTACCAAATTGACTTCTAGAAAGGTTAAGTCAGTCTTTAAAACACTGTCTTTCCTGGTGTTGACTGGCAAATTTTGATGACTAGACTACAGTCCATGGAACATGGTTTTAGGGAAGAACAACAAAAACAAATCTAGGTGCTCCATAAGCGAGGTCATTATCACATAGCCTCTCATAAATTCAAGGCTTCTGAAAGAATAAACTAAGAAATACATATGCATGCATACATCCACAAAACAGAAATACACAAACATGTATTAAACATGTAAGAAAATGAGGTCCATATGAGTAAGAGTCAGAAGAAAAATAAAAATGCAGAATCAGACTCAGATAACAGAGTAGTTCTAACAGATGCAGAAAACAAAATACATATATTTAATATGCCTAAAGAGCTAAAAGTCATATTAAATGTAGATGAGTAAAAAAGAGTATTGGAAAACAAAATGTAGTTTGAAACTTTCCTTATAAAATGTAACAAAATAAATTCCAGATGGATTAAAAAACTAAGTGTTGTTATACAATGAAATCATACAAATAAAGAAAACAAAGATATTCTTCTAATCTTGGGATAGATGAGAGTTCTAGCATTATAAAGGCATGTAAGAAATATAATAAAAATATCAAAACATAATAATCGTGGGATAGTGTCATTTTTATAAGTAAATAATTTTACTTAGATTTTGATAGCTGATTACATAAAACTTTTGAAGTTTTGTGCATTAGAAATTATCAACAGTAGTGAGAAACAAAGCAAATTTGGAAATAGATTATTAAAAAATGACATACTATACTATTATTGTTTTCAATTTTTAAAGCATTCTTTCAAATCTATGAGGGAGAAAACTGCCTTCTACCAAAAGAAAATGAGGAAATCTAAAAAAAAATCAGGAAAGAAATTAATTGTATTTCCCTGGTAATCAAATTAATGCCAGCAATACACTAAAATATCCTTTTCTACTATCTGGTTATGTAATTTGATGAAGAAGTGCAAACCGTCAGACCACATCTTACACTCTTTCCTAATGAAGTTATCCGAGTAGGCATGAAGATAAAAATGACCTTCAGATATGTCTCTAATTTTGCAAACTGGGTCCATATCAAATAATATATATCTAATTACAGTATTACAATCTTGATTATTAGATTTCTATTTTTAAATTATAAGCATTAATTATTGGTTCAGAGCTGAATATAACTGTGAAAATCTTTGAAAAGATAAATATTTAATTGACAGACACTGACAAGTGCTGAAGAATGTAGGAATAGTCTTTATCACAACTTATACAGTAGGACTTCAAGAGAAAGTTTAAAAGTAGTCAGTGATGAAATAGACATGTAAACTCTCTTGAACATGATAAAGATACTATAGAAGAAACACATAATAAAAATGTATGAATGCTGGAATGAAAGAGGGAAGTGCTGTCAATGACACGTTTCTTCACCTTTCAAGATGGAGAGTCAATAGGCAACATGTAATGGCAATAAAAATACTGATAAGAATATTATTTAGATATTAAGTGTAACTCACTAAAAAAACTGAATAGGAGAAAAGGTTCAATATTCTTAAATTTGTAAGACTGGGATAAATAGGTTGAAGAGAAAATTTGTTATTTTACATCTTTACTGTTAAGAATTTATTTTACTGTGTATTGTTTTCATGATAATTGAAAGATATTTATATGGAATAATTTTTATTAAAACATGGGTTACAATAAACAAAAATTTGAAACAACCTTAATGTCCATACAAAGTTGAGAGGGTAAAATAATTATGACACAACCATATAATAATGTGTTATTTAGGAGCTGAAACCAGATTTCAGAGAAAGTTTTCATAGATTTTTGGGGAAACTTGTTACATGAAGTTAAAAGAAGAAATATCAGAAATTTCTCTATGCATTATGACAGAAACATAAGAAAATGTAGATAGTGGTATCTCTACTGAATTACCATTGAATTGTATATTTATTTTTCTAGTTTTCCTGTTTTATAACTTTTTCTGTGATCATAGTCATTCAAAAAGGGGTAGGGAAGAGTTAAATGACATTAATGAAAACAACACTGTGGTTTACTTGTTACCACAAAAAGAAAAGAAGGCTTAAAATGAAAAGTGAGCTCAGTAATTCATCATTTGACTATCAAAACATATCAGTTTTATAATATTTCAAAATTTAGACTTCAAGTAATGCTCAGATTTAGAATCCTACAGTATAAAGAAAGCAGGTAAGCAGAATTGTGCCAAACAAACATTGCCGGTCTTATAACACTAAAGCCATTAGGGAAAAAGAACTAAATAGCCTTGATTTATTTTAGTCTTTCTTGAGAAGTGTCCCAGGGCATTCTGTGAATTTCCTACTTAAACTTGGCTAGCAACTGCCCTGGAGGTAGCTCCCAAATGCTTTATATCAAGGAGTTATGTTGGCATTTGATTCCTTAATGTTTGGAGTTCATGAATTTCATTCCTCAAAGGAAGTGTTTAGCTTAAATTAGTGTCAGCCTCTTTCTCTTCATTAACTCATGACTACTACCTTCTTAGTCCTTTATGAGCACATCTTGCTTTCTATATTATTGCCATCTCAATGTATGAGCTCTTCTATTTGCTTTTCCCACTATAACACACATTCCTCAGTAAATGCTGGGATTTCATGCTAGAACTCATAGAAGCTGCAAACAATCTAACAAATAACACAACATAAAAAAATTACATATACCACAGATCTGTGATTGACACTGTGTGCATCTCAAAATAAATAATTAAACTCTTCTTGCTATGAAAACATTAAACATGAAAGTAATTATTGAGATTAATTTAAAAACTGCTTCCTGTAGGGAATGCTAATACACTGATAGATTGAAGAATAAATTTATTACATGAATGACATTTAATGCAAAATATTCCTCTGAAAATAATAATATTTGGCTTTTAGTTGTCCTTTCATCAGAGCAATGACATTCTGCTGCAGCTCTCACCTCGTCGAGCATGTTTCTCATCCTTGACACAGACTTCATTTACAGAACCAATTGGATCACAATGACATGGTTGGCATGGCCTTGGATAATTTGGAGATACCTAACAAAAATATTAAAATGTATTTAATCCAGTGTAGTAAGAACAGCCACATTTTGCATTTCAGCAAACTTTTGTAGGTAAAGTAGTTTTAATAACATTGTAGTAAATTATTGAGAAAATTATAAGAATTACCTTTAATACATGTTTATAATTTTAAAAATGTATTTCTTCTACATGCTTACACAAAAGTAAAGAGGATGGAACAATAAACTCCTATGTATTTGTTACTTAGATTCAACAATTATTGATATTTTCATGTTTTATCCCTTTTTATCTTATATATAATATATGAAGACAGTTACTTTAATTAAACAAACCTACACTGTGTTCATATACTCTATATACAAAATTTGTTTTTCAAACAGAATAGGAAAAACCAAAAAACTAAATTATTTGACCAAGAAATATCCCTCTATTAAATGTAGCTTTCATGTGTGTGTGTGTGTGTATATATATATATATATATATATATATATATATATATATATACCTAAGCTTAATTTACAAATGAAAACTTGTTTGCTACTATAAATCAGATCTATTAACTGATCACTTTATTGTATATTTATTCAGGAGATTCTAGGAAATTCAGTGGAAAGCAACAGCTGGTAAACTGAACAAGCTGAGAAGAGTTTTCAGGTGCTACAAACCATAAAGTAAAGAGAAATTGGACTTTAAGTTAACCACATTAGAAATATTTGACAAATACCTGAAGTTTTCCATTAATGTGTCCTAAAAAAGTATGAAAGTAAACTTTCATAACTCATAGTGATCAGTCATGAGTTTGTTACTAATCAGAACCAATTCAAAATATTCAGAGGAACATAACAGAAACCAGTATCTCTGTATTGTGTTCTCCAAAATGTCCTGTAGAGGTGATAAATTACAGTAGTTCCCATGTCATGTGTGGTTTTGCTTTCTGAGGTTTCAGTTATCATGATTAACTACAATTCAAAAATATTAAGTGGAAAACTCCAGAAATAAATAATTCATAAGTTTTAATTTGCATGCCATTTTGAGTAGTGTGGTGAAATCTTCAAGCCGTCTTGCTCTGTCCCCCAGAGATATGAATCGTCCCTTTGTCCAGCATATCTATACTGTCTAGACACTACCTCCTGTTCATCACTTGGTCCCATCACAGGTATCAGACTGGAAAAACATGGTATATATAGGTTTGGTACTATCTGTCATTTCAGGCATCAACTGGGATTCCTGGAACATATCTTCTGCAAATAAAGGAGGACTACTGTATTTGATATGCAGGAAAGAAAACAGGACAATCTCCTTATTTAAAAAAGAAGTTGATAAAAACAGATTCTGAGGTGATCCAGGTATTGAAATTAGTATACAAGGAAATCAACGTAAGTACTGTAAATATATCCAAGAATATAAAGGAAACAATGTTTATAATGAGTGAATGCATGGACTATTTCAGCAGAGAAATGGACACTCTAAGGAACATAAGAACTCCAGAAAGCTGAAAAGTAAAATACTTCAATTTAATAATTTCACTCTCTATGCTTAACATCAGATAGAGATGATAGTAGGAAAAGTAGTCAAACTGCTTTTGTAGTCACCTGGCCATAGGCCGGAATTTGGTCTACAGGTCAGGGTTTTCTCATACATGATATCATGGTTAAAAGTAAATGTAATGAGAATTTATTTATTTATTTATGTTTATTTATTTTTGAGATAGGGCCTAACTCTGTCACTCAGGCTGAAGTGCACTGATGTGATCTTGGCTCACTGCAACCTCTACTTCCTGGGTTCAAGCTATTCTCCTGCCTCAGCCTTCTGAGTAGCTGAGATTACAGGTGCCCGCCACCACAACCCAGCTAAGTCTTGTATTTTTAGTAAAGACAGGAGTTTCACCATGTTGGCCAGGTTAGTCTTACATTTCTGCCCTCAAGTGATTCACCCATCTAGGCCTTCCAAAGTGCTGAGATTACAGTGTGAGCCACCATGCCCAGCATAATATGAATATTTTAAAATCAGCTAGTGAACTAAAGATACATTATATAGAATAAAGTAAACCACAGATAAAGAGGAAATTATCCAATCTAAAGAACAGAGAAAGAAAAAGAATTAATTAGCACTGCCTCAGATACAATAGGAATGGTGAGAGAGGGCATCCTTGTCTAGTGCCTGATTTCAAAGGGAATTCTTTCAGCTTTTTCCTATTCAATATGATATTAGCTATAGGTTTGTCATAAATAGCTTTTATTATCTTATGATATGTTCTGTCAATACCTAGTTTATTGAGAGTTTTTAGCATGAAGGGCTGTTGAATTTTGTTGAAGGCCTTCTCTGCAACTATTGAGATAATAATGTGGTTTTTGTCTTTGGTTCCCTTTATGTGATGGATTACGTTTATGGACTTGCATATGTTGAACCAGCCTTGCATCCCCGGAATGAAGCCTACTTGATTGTGATGAATAAGCTTTTTGATATGCTGTCACATTTGGTTTGCCAGTATTTTATTTAATATTTATGGGTCGATGTTTATCGTGGATATTGGCTTGAAGTTTTCTTTTTTAGTTGAGTCTTTGCCTGGTTTTGGTATCAGAATGACGTTGGTCTCATAAAATGAGTTAGGGAGGCTTCCATCTTTTTGTATTGTTTGATATAGTTTCAGAAGAAATGGAACCATCTTCTCTTTGTATATCTGGTGGAATTCTGCTGTGAACCCGTCTGGACCTGGACTTTTTTTGGTTGGTAGGCTATTGATTGCTGCCTCAACTTCAGCCCTTGTTATTGGTCTATTCAGGGTTTCAATTTCCTCCTGGTTTAGTGTTGGTAGAGTACAGTGTCCAGTAATTTATCAATTTCTTCCTGGTTTACTGATTTATGTGCATAGAGCTGTTTGTAGTAATCTCTGATGGTGGTCTGTATTTCTGTAGGATCTGTGGTGATATCCCCTTTATCTTTTTTATTGCATCTCTTTGATTCTTCTCTTTTCTTTTTTATTAGTCTGGCTAGCAGTCTGTCTATTTTGTTGATCTTTTCAAAAAACAGCTCCTGGATTTATTGATTTTTTTGAAGGGTTTTTGTGTCTCTATCTCCTTCAGTTCAGCTCTGATCATAGTTATTTCTTTTCTTCTGCTAGCTTTTGAGATATTTTTGATCTTTCTCCTCTAGCTCTTTCAATTTTGATGATAGGGCGCCAATTTTAGATCTTTCTTTGTTTCTCATGTGGGCATTTATTGCTATAAATTTCCCTCTCAATATTGCTTTAAAGGTGTCCCAGAGATCCTGATAAGTTGTGTCTTCATTCTGATTGGTTTTGAAGAATATCTTTATTTCTGTCTTCATTTCATTGTTTATTCAGCCGACAATCAGAAGCAAGTTGTTCAGTTTCCACGTGATTGTGCGGATTTGAGTGTGTTTCTTAATCCTGAGTTCTACTCTGATTTCGCTGTGGTCTGATAGACTGTTTGTTATGATTTCCATTCTTTTGCATTTGCTGAGGAGTGATTTGTTTCCAATGATGTGGTCAATTTTAGAGTAAGTGTGATGTAGTGCTGAGAAAAACGTATATTCTGTGGATTTGGGGTGGACTGTTCTTTATATGTCTATTAGGTCTGCTTGGTCCAGCTCTGCATTCAAGTCCTGGATGTCCTTGCTAATTACAAGTCTGCAGTAATCAAAATAGCATGGTGATGGTACCAAAACAGAAACATAGGCTGATGGAACGGAACAGAGGCCTCAGAAGCAACACCACACATCTACAACTATCTGATCTTTGACAAACCTGACAAAAACAAGCAATGGGGAAAGGAATCCATGTTTAATAAATGGTGTTGGGAAAACTGGCTAGCAATGTGCAGAAAGCAGAAACTGGACCCCTTCCCGTCACCTTGCACTAAAATTAACTCCAGATGGATTAAAGATTTAAACATAAAACCTAATACCATAAAACACTAGAAGAAAACAGGCAAAACCATCCAGGACATAGGCATAGGCAAGGACTTCATGACTAAAACACCAAAAGCATTGGCAACAAAAGCCAAGATAGATAAATGAGATCGAATTAAAATTCAGAGCTTCTCTACAGCAAAAGAAATCATCATCAGAGCAAATCAGCAATCAACAGAATGGGAAAAAATTTTTGTAGTCTACCCATCTGACAAAGGGCTCATATCCAGAATCTACAAAGAACTAAAACAAATTTACAAGAAAAAAACAATCAACTACATTCAAAAGTGGGTGAAGGATATGAACAGACATTTTTCAAAAGAAGACATAAATGAGGCCAATAAACATAAAAAAAATGTTCATCACTGGTCATTAGAGAAATGCAAATCAAAACCCCATTGAGATACCATCTCATTCCAGTTAGAATGGCGATCATTAAAAAATCCAGAGACAACAGATGCTGGAGATGATGTAGAGGAATAGAAACACTCTTACATTAGTTGGTGGGTGTGACTTAGTTCAACCATTGTGGAAGACAGTGGGGTGATTTCTTAAGGACATAGAAATAGAAATTCCATTTGACCCAGCAATCTCATTACTGGGTATATACCCAGAGAATTATAAATCATTCTATTATAAAGACACATGCACACATATGTTCATTGCAGCACTGTTTACAATGGCAAAGACCTGGAACCAACCCAAATGCCCATCAATGATAGACTGGACAAAAAAAATGTGGCACATATACACCATGGAATACTACACAGCCATAAAAAATGATAAGTTTGTGTCCTTTGTAGGAACTTGGGTGAATCTGGAAGCCATCATTCTTAGCAAACTGATACAAGAACGGAAAACCAAACACTGCATGTTCTCACTCATAGGCAGATATTGAACAATGAGAATATGCGGACTCAGGGAGAGGAGAATCACACACTGGGGGCAGTTGGGTGTGGTTAGGGGAGGGATAGCAGGGGTGGGGAGGGTGAAAAGGGATAGAATAGGGAGAAATGCCAATATAGTCAAAGGGGAAATAGAGGCAGTAAACCACCTGGTTGTGTATGCACCTATGCAACAACCCCGCATGACATGCACGTGTACCCCTGAACGTGAAGTAAAATTAAAACAACAACAACAACAACAACAACAACAACAACAACAACAACAAAAACAGAACTAGCACTCAACTCAGCAATTCCATTACTTGGCATATACCAAAGGAATACATATCGTTCTACCATAAAGTCACATACATGCATGTGTTCATTGCAGCCCTCTTCACAATAACAAATACATGGAATCAACCTAGGTACCATCATCAGTGGACTGAATAAAGAAAATTTGTGCATATATACCATGGAATATTACACAACGATAAAAAAGTATGAAATCACGTTCTTTGAAGCAACATGGATGGAGAAGGAGGACATTATCCTAAGTGAATTAATGCAAGAATAAAAAACCAGATACTACATGTTCTCTCTTATGAGTGGGAGCTAAACACTGAGCACACATGGAAACAAAGAAGGCAACAATAGACATGAGGGCCTACTTGAGAAGGGTGGGAGGGGATGAAGATTGAAAAACTTATTTTGCTTATTATCTGGGTGATGAAATAATCTATACGCCAAACCCCCATGACCATAATTTACCCACATACTCCCTGAACCTAAAATAAAAGTTGAAATGGAAAAAAAAATTATACAAAGAGGTACTGCTAAAAACATAATAGAGGAAACAAAATGTAATACTGAAAAATATTTGTTTAACATAAAATTAGACAGAAAAGGAAGAATAGGAACAAAACTTTTGTGACACAAATAGGAAAAATAGCAAAACCCAATCATATTATTAACTATATTATATTTATGGACTAAACACCCAGTAACTGTCAGTATAAAAAATCCATCTATTTTAGTCTTTTTAAGAAATCTACTTTTAAATGAAAATAAAGATAGGTTGAAAGTTAAACAAAATCAGAATACCATACAGAGTAAACATATGAAAACTGCTATAGCAATATTAATAAAAAATAAAGTGGACTTTATGACAAAAAGTGATATCTGAGATTAAGTGGCGATCTTCACAGTTATTGAAATATCAATTTATAAGATCTAAAAAATCTGAAGATTCAAAATAAATATGTATGTACCTCATAACAGTGCTTCAAATAACATGAGAAAATACTAGAAAAATGAAAGAAAAATAGGAATCCATATTCACAGATTGAAAAAAATCCACATTTATTTTTTTACCAAGAGAGAGAATGCATTGAGCTGCAAGTTAAATTTCAATAAACATCTAAAGTTTTACATCTCAGAGAGTACATTCTCAGATCATAAACATCCAGTGTAGAAATAAAAATTATAATATTTAATAAAGCCCAAATATTTGGAGATTAAACAACAAAATCACAAGAGAAATTAGAAATCACATTAAATAAATAATAACATAGAGCATTCTGAATTCATGAGCAGAAGCTAAAGAAATGCTAGAAGGAAATTTATATTTAAAAGCTTATATGATAAAAGAAGAAAGTTTAAAATCAGAATTTAACATTCCAAATTGATAGGTAGCAAAATAAAATAAAATTTAAACCCAAAACAGGTCAACTGAATAATATAATAAATAGAACAGAATCAATGAAAATACAAAAAATAAAAACAGATTTTTTAAAGGATTAAAAAAAAATGATAAATCACTCCTAACAGAAGTGATTAATAAAAGGAGAAAAGCAAAACATAATCACTTTAAAAATTAAAGAAGAGATATTAGTATAGATGCTATAGACTTCAAGAAGATAATAAGGGAATTTTTTAAACTGCCTATAATTTGACACTTTAGATGAACTGAACAAATTACTTGAAAAATATATCAAAACTTGACCCTCCCCAAAGATATTAATACAAAACCTATCTAGCCCTATGCCTAATAAAAAATAACCAATGCATTTAAAAATGTTCTTCCCACAAAGAAAACTAGAGGCTTACAGAGTTTCACTGGAGAATTTGTTAAGCATTTTAAAGATAATTAATTTTAATCATAAGTTATTTTAGAAAACAGCGGAAGAGGAAGTTCATTTCCTAGATCATTTGTTGATGCCAGTATACCTCAATAAAAACACCTGACAAAGATATTATAAAATTATAGACCTATCCAATATGAGAGGGTGTCAAAATTCTTAACCAAATATTAGTCAATGGAATCATCCAATATATAAAAATATAAAAATGATAATATACCATAACCAGATGGATATTAATTCAAAAATGCAAAGTTGGCTTTATATTTAAAAAATTAATTTGTGTAAATTGACCATGTTAACAGAGTAGAGGAGAAAAACCTTATGTTCATTTTAGTAGGTTTCTAAAAGTATATGATAAAATTCAAAACAGTTTTGTTGTAAAACTGAATCTGATAAAGCACGTACATAAAAAATCTGCAGTTCACATCATACTCAATAGTGAAATATTAGGTTTCCCTTTAAAATTGAGAACAAAGTGAAGATGTCAGCTTTCACCATTTTTCGTTAACCTTGGCATAAAGATTGCAAAGGAAGAAGTAAGCCTGAAGGTAACACAACTGTTTATGTGTATGTTTCTCAACATGTAGTTTAAAACTACTAGAGTTAATAAGGATGGCTATAGCACATAAAGTCAATATTCAAAAATCTTTAATAATTATATTAAAGAATTGAAAAACTATTTTTAAAAAACAATTTTTTTCACAATCATGCAAAGGAAAATACTAAAGATTAATTTAACGAAAGACATGTAAGATCTCTATACTAGAATAGTGACATGGATAAAGAAGACAGAAATAAATGGAGAGATATGGTATATTCGTTGATTAAATGGCTCAACATTATCATGATGTTATTTTTCTCTATGTTTTCTTTTAACATTTAATTTTGTTTAACTGACAAATTGTATGACACACTATTTTGAAATATATAATATATATATATACAATTGAAATCATTATATCAAACTAATTAACATACTGCCTAATATAATTATCAATTTTGTTCTGAGAACATAAAAAATCTATCCTCAGCATTTTTCAAGACTATATTGTAATTAACTATAATTACAATGGTATATTAACACCATCTGTACAATAAATATCTTCAATGTATTCCTATAATCTAACAAAAATTTGGTATTCTTTGACCAATCTCTCCTCAAACTCCAATTCTCCATATTTGTATATAGATTCTATGCAATAATCTTAATGTTTTCTGTAATTGACAAGTTGATTCTACAATTGTATGCAAACACACATACACACACACACAAAAACCCTACTAGAGACAAAACAACCTTGAAAAGAAAGAATAAAGTTGGTATATTATACTACCTAAATTCTAGACTTATTAAAGCAATGAAGATAGTATGATAATAGCACATAGAAAAATAGATGCTTGAAACATAATTAAATTTCTAAAAATTGATCCATGTAATATGATCAATTGATTTTTCAATGAATGGTGCTAGAACTTAAAGTTAACCATATAAAACTGGTTACTTATTTCATACCACACACCAACATTTCCTTGATATGGGTAATAGCTCTGTAAGTTAAAAATCTAGTTGTTAGAATAAAAAAATAATATTTAAACTTTGAACATGTACTTCACAAGAGAAGATATAGGAACAGTCAAGAAACCCTTACAATTAAAATTAAATCCATAATCAGATGCCATTTCACACCCACTAGATGACCAAAATCCAAAAAGACAGTCAACATCAAATATTAGAGATGATATAGAACAGCTGGAACTAATGTAACTTTTTGGTGAACACATTATACATTATTACTAATTTGGCAAAACGTTGATGGTTTCTTATAAAGTTAAGGATCTACCTATCCTATATAAAAAGGATTCTACTCCCAAGTATTTACATAAGGTAAATAAAGGCATGACTATAAAATAACTAGTATGAAATTATTTATAGGAGCTAAGCTAAAATTGGAAATGATCCTAATATCTATCAACAGGAGAATGGATTTAAATTTTTGATATGTTTATGCAGAGAAATATTACTCAGCAATTTCTTTTAGCAAAAGAACTACTGATGCACAAACAACATGAATAAATCTTAAAATATGTTGAGTGAAAGAAGAGAGACACAGGCTTGTATATACTGTATGATTTCATTTTTATGAAATTCACTAATAGGCACAACTAATTTATGTTCTAAAAATCAGAACAGAGTTTGTCTAGGGGTGGGAATTGACTGTAAGGAGCCATGATAAAACTGTCCAGTGTGATGGAAATGTTTTATCTCACATCCTCAAAGATTTAGGTCAGTTTCAACAATGAAATGTTCTTACTCACCTTTAATTTGAAGTTCAACTTTTAGGAGAACCTTTCAAAATTATTGTATTTTTTGTATAAAACATTGTTGTATGAAAAAGCAAAAAACCCTTTATAAAGAAAAAGCATACTTTACCCCTTTGGGTCTGAAGAAGCCATTAGCGCAAGTCTCACAGTTTATACCAGCAGTGTTTTGGGTACAATTAATGCAGACACCCCCTCCAATATACTTTCCACGTATATTCAAACTCAGATTTCTTCTGGCAACATTTTCATCATAATAGCATTCTTCAGCTTTTCCATGACAATTGCATGCTGGATTAGGGGAAAATAAATTAATAAACATTAATTTCATGTTTCAGATACATTTAAAAATCATTTCTGTTATACACAACAGATTTTTATACTATACAGGAAAGTACATTTAGCATACACATGCACAAAGATATCTAGACAGTATCTGAATTTATTGAATGTCTAAATAAATTCACATTAATTTGAAATAATTAAAACATATAAATTGAGCACAAGCATATGCAATTGCCATTGTTTGATTTTGACTAATGAAAGTTCAATTTTATATGGTTCAACTAATAATTTCCTGTTATGACAAATAATATATTATTGAATGATGGCACTAAATGATCAACAGCTAGGTAATCTGTAGTGAATTATTGCTATATCGAAATGTCTGTGTTAGATCCTATGGATAAAGAAGAACATCTATAATACACTTTCTTTCTATTAATACTAATAACAACTAAAATGTATTTAGGTTTCTTTCAATGCCAGACACTGTCCTAAGTGCTCTATATCTATTACTACTGATTTTAATCCTCAAAAATGCTTTTAGGAATAAGGTATTATTATTATTAACCTATTTTTGTATACTCTTTTCACGTGTGTGTGTGTGAACCTGAGGCCAGAGAAGTGAAATAATGTGCAGAAGGTAATCTAATCAGTATTGAAAACCAACTTCTGAAGCCAGACTCCAGAGTCTGCTAAAGACTGCTGGAATCCCTTCACATTCTGCCTGGTAAACAAGACAAGATACATGACAGGTGCCAAGCAATTAAGACAAACTGAGAGCTGGTTTACTTGGGGGCTTAGATCTTGCTATTTTGCACCCCACTGTCTTGGATTTGCACGTTCTCTCCACTACTTAGTAGTCATGTGATGTTGGAAGCTTCTTAATTTCACAAATGCTTAGTTTCCATATAAAACATGGAGTGGTCAATAGCAATTGCTAGATTGGATATTTAAAAGCACAAGTGAGATAATGCATGTAAAATCATTTGCATAATGTCTTATAAATAAGTTCACAATTGATTTTCCTTCTCTTCATCCTCCTTGTCTTTTTTAGGTTACATTAGAAGAATTCAAAGAAGTGAAAAATTATTTTCTCCAGAAAGGATTGGGTAAGACTTTTTAAAATATGAAGAATTTATATTAGGAAGGAACTAGGGAAACATACTGATGCAGAGTCTCCTTTCTACATGAGATGTTGAGTTTCTTAGGAGAACTTACAGTCATTTCCACATGTGTGTGTGTGTAGGTGCCTGTATACTGTTCAGAACTGTTTCATTTTAATAACAGTAAATCATGGAGTTTTTCCATGTTAGCATGTGTATCCCCTAAGGGTGCAAAGGGTACTATTGAATGAAGGTATTTACCAGGTCTCTATTAATGAATAATTACACAGTTTGCATGTTTCTGCTTTACAAATAACACTGCACACATACTCGGAGAACAAGGATGTGGGGTGGAGGGAGGAGCTCTAATATCAGAAAAGTTTCCTATTTGCCAGTTGAGTGATTTTGAGGCAAAAAATCAAGTCTTAGCATTATTTTAGTACTTGTCTCTTATACTTGTTTTGAGGATGCTGAGCAGAATGCCTGGAACATACTAAATACTGAGCTCAATAAATGTTAGTAGCAGTAGTGGTAGCACTAATGACAAAGATCATGATAATGTTCCCTTTACATCCATATGAATACATCTATAGGATACATTCCTAGAAGCATAATTTCTAGTCTAAGGGTATGTAAAATTTAAATTTTAATCACTTTAAAAAAATCCTCTCCACGAATACTATGACAAATGATGTTTCTTCTAGTAGAAATGATAAAACAGGTTCTCCATAGCTACCAACCTTGTGTATTATCAACCCATGAATACAATTCCTGGACATAATAAGCATTCAAATATTTGTTAAGTGGATGAATGAACACTTTAATAAGTTAAAAATAATATTGCCATTGTTCTAATTGGTACTTCCTTAATTATGAGTGTGATTATCTTTTACAAAGTTATTTGTCATTTCTAAGAAATACCTGTTTTGATCTTTACAGATTTTTAACAGGTTAATTAACTTTTTTCTTATTGATATGTAAGATCTCTTAATATAGAATGGTTATTATACTCTTGTAATGTTTGTTGTAAATACCTTTCCCAACTTGCTGACATTTGATTTATAATCTAGTATTTTTGCTATGTTAATGGAGAGTTTCAAACTTTGGGGAACATATAGTCACAAATATAAATCACTAGGTATTATAAGCAGTTTTATATCTTTAGTACAACATACAAGAATTCCTTTTTTTTCTTCAGAAAGACAGTGATACGGTTTGGCTCTGTGTCACCACCCAAATCTCATATCAATTGCAGTTTCCACCTATGGAGGGAGGGAGGAGATTGGATCAAGGGGAGGTTCCTCCATGCTGTTCTCCTGATAGTGAGTGAGTTCTTACAAGATATGATGGTTTTATAAAGGGCTCTTCCCCCTTCACTTTCTCCTCCCTCTCCTGCACCATGTAAGACATGCCTGCTTTCCCTTTCCCCTTGATTGTAAGTTTCCTGAGACCTCCCTAGCCATGCAGAATGGTGAGTCAACTAAACCTCTTTCCTTTATAATTTACCCAGTCTCTGTGGGTAACACTCCTCATGGGCACCGAGGAAGGAGAACTGTCCAGACCCCAGGCATAAGTAGTGCCTGAAGAATATCTTAGTTTATAGTGTTATTGTTCAGCTATTTTCTTTATATAATCCTACATATATAATCATATATTAGTTTACAGAATTAGTGCTTCAAGTATAACTTACTGCTTACATATATCTAGTTTATATAATCATACTTAATAATTATATCTACTTAATTCTATATAATCTTTCTATATAATCATATAGGTATTGCAGTCAGAGCTGTACTGACACATTTAGTGCTGATTTATATAATCCTTCTATATTAACCATATAGTAGTTTGTAGTAGGAGGAATGCCTAGAGCAGTCACCGAACAGTAGCAGTACATGGGAAAACAGCCAAACCACGATGAGAACCAAAGATCCAGGTGCTGGCAACCCTGCCTGAAAGGGCAGACACTGTATGGCGAGGCTTGGAGCAAGAGCCTCTCCTCCTGATAAAGGAGTTGTAGTACCTTGCATCCAGTTCCTGTGGAAAGCAGGCCTCAGGCCTGAGATCCTGGAAGTAACCGAGGGAGAAGAACCCATCTGGTGTGACCAGTCCCAGTGGCTGTACACCCTGTCAGTCTTTTCTCGCTTCTGTGCTAGCTCAAATCATCCTCCCATAAATATCTTAAGAGAAGAGCACAAGTCTGCCACCTCCCACCGCATTAAGCTTACAATATCTTTCTATTAGAAATCCTTTGAAGTCTCGAGTCCCCAGATAAGAAGTGTTGCACACAACACCTGTTGCACACAGCCCGCCTCCTTGCCTTGGTGACCTATTGGAGGTGGACCCCTTTTCTGCACATGACCCTCTACTACTGTGCACAGCATGGCCCCCTGCTGTACACAGCCCACCTCTCTGCCCAGGTGACATAATAGGGTGGCCCCCTCGCTTGTGACTCATGTGATTATATATGCCCTATTACTAAGCCTATAGATGATGACCTCATGCACCACCCTGCCCATAAATACAGATGCTCTGAGGCATTTGGGGGCTGCCACTGATCTCCACTCACAAGTGGTGTGGTCCCCTGAGTCCAGATGCTCTTCATCAGTTATTCAGTGTCCTGACTCTTTACATCTCGGATCCTGCACCTCAACACAGCATAAGGGACACCCCACGACCCTGTGGGGCTTCCACAGCCCTACAAGTCTCAGGTAGTATCTTTATAGCAGTGTGAAAGGAGAATAATACAGAGAGGGTCTCGCTATGTGTCTCAGGCTGGCCTCAAACTCTTAGGCTCAAAAGATCCTCCCACCATAGCTCCTTTCCAGTAGCGGGGATAATAGGAACATATTATTGGACTGGCTATGAATTCTTAAAAACTTTGTTGTAAAAATTTCCAGAAACAGTAAAAACTTCTGCTGCCAGTATAAGCAGAGGAAAAGATAAAGTAATATAAACTTATTCTCATACTACTTAGAACTGATGTTGTCAAGAGTGTTTACAACTATGAGCTACAATAGGTAAAACACGGATGCCAAAGCAACAGTCCTTCACACACTCTGTGTAACCAGGACCCTATACCTATAGCCTCACTTGCTGTCTGTGGGCCACAGCCTACCCAGCTCTGTCTGTAGCCTTCAAGGATATGGCTAGCAACTAATCACAAAGCCATGTGTTCGCTCTGTCATCAGCAACTTACTACTTCACAGAATGTCCAAGATATATCATATTAAACTGTTCTTTAGTATAGGCTTAGCAACTGAATGCATATTCTATGCTCTTTAGAGATACATCTTGCCTTATGTAAGCTAGATTGATGAAAATCCAAATTAAACTCAAATGAATTAGAATGTGATTATTCATTTTATGGAGGGATTTGTCATGTCACAGAAGGATTTTTCTAAATATTAAGGTATTGGAATATAATTCGACTTGGAAAAGAGTAAATTTACATAAGCTTTTAGGAATGTATTCATTGCTGAAAGTGTGATTTTTATCTAATGTTTTATGGCTAAGACCCCCATCTTGAATTTCTGGGTTTTTAAAATGTTTATTTTTCAATTTGGAAATATGACCTCACCTCTTCCCTACAGGGAAAGAAAAATATTTCACAAGCCCACTATTTTAAAAATGTATATGGTAGCAGTTTAAAATGTCTTGCTTTGCTTAGTCTACCTCTATTGCCAACGAGTTGCTCTATTCTTTTTGTTTTGTATTTAAACATAGAAACACAAGGAGAGTGGTAAAGGATTTTGCAGAGCCCTTAACATTAGGTAATTATCACTGTGGAAAGCATGTCAGCAGCAACAGAAAGACTCCTACCTTCAAGTGCTGCTCCCACTTGTAATTGCTGATAGTCCACAAACAGAAAAGAAGTTTAATTAAAATTTAAAGGAGCTTGAGAGCAAACATCCCTGGATGGCATTACATTTAAAGTTACTCTTAAGAGCAAATGTCTGTTCTCTATGGAGAAGCTGTGGAGAACTGAGAGATTAGCCAGAACATGGCTGGAAGTAGTTGAAGGAAACAAAGGCTGGGCCTCCCGTGGTCACCCACCATGCATGGTGAGTGATGATCTAATGGTGGCTCCGGCCTCCAGATATGCCTTAGTAATAATGGGAGATTTCTAATCCATAGTATCTTTATAAGCAGGCAGATGCAAATCAAAAAGCAAATGAAATGAATGCAGAAAGTGAGGAGACTTAATAGCATATATGCAGAATCTCAAACTAAAAAGAAAATGCAGTCATCCCTCGGTATCCATGGGGATGGTTCCAGGACCTCCATCAAACACCAAAATTCAAGGATACTCAAGTTCCTTTTATAAAGTGGCATAGTACTTGCATACAACCTATGCACATCCTCCTGTATACTTTAAATTACCTCTAGATTACTTATAATACCTAACAAAATATAATGCTATATAGTTGTTATATTGTCTAAAAAATAATAACAAGCAACAGTCTGTACAAGTTAATTTAAAATGTCTATCAAGCTGTTTTTGAAGGCCATATATACTTAATAAGTTGAAAAAAATGTGGTTAGGGCTGATTTACTGCAATATTAATATTTGAATTCAGTTAAATTGGGCTTCATACTAGTTTAGGTTTACAGTACAGCAGAAGACTATTTTTAGGTCTATTCTTGGGTTGAGAAAATCTCCAGGAACACAGGTTTCTCCATGATACCTATCATCTAATAAGATCAGTTGTCACTATTAGGCTATAAAGTCATCTGCTGCATTTCTTAAGTATTTTCCTTTAGAAAAAGCTAGCCATATGGACTGTCTTCGAAGTGATAATATAAATGAGTATTTGTTGTCGCATTTGCATAACCAGCCATTTTAATGTTTTTCATTACTGGCTTTTTTCTTTTTTTTAAAAGGAAGAATGACATATTTTGTTGGCTTCTAAAGAACATACCTTCACATTCAGTTTTAGTCAGAAAAGTCCCAGCTCTCCAGGGTTTCTGATGGAATCCTGGACAGCACTGATCACAGCTATCACCACATGTGTTATGCTCACACTCACAGCGAGATTTCTAGTCAAAAAGAGGGAGAAAGCACAAATTTTAACCTTATTTAGAACCATAAAGAAAGCCTCTTTCTAAAGGTACTATGAAGGAAAGAGAAAACATCTGGACTACGTACTAAAATGTAAAACTAGTCAGCCTGGAAAGAACACCGTGCCAGGCTTGAAGTGGGTGTATTTTATCAACATCAGCTTAAGGAAGTCCACGCTGGTTCTGGAATCACTGGCTCAGAAGAAAGCAGGAAGGCCCAGCTGGGAGTGGTCTTAAAGACTGAATTCTCCTTCTCTGAGGCCTGGGATCTATGTGCTTTTGGGATTGATGTGCTTATTTTAAGGGTCCCCTCAAAATGTTGTTAACATTTTTGGATGTGGAAAAGAGGAGGGAGTTGATTCCTAGGCCTCTTGGGGTACAGGTAAAACAGATATCTAAAATCCCTGGAACTAAATATCCCGTCTGTGTGTCCTCTGAATACCATCTCAATTTACCTCATGGAATTGGCCTTCTAAGGCTGTCTTGAAGACTTTTGTATTTTACTTTTTTTTTTTTTTTTTTTTTGAGACGGAGTCTCACTCTCTAGCCCAGGCTGCAGTGGTGCGATCTCAGCTCACTGCAACCTCCACCTTCTGGGTTCAAGAAGTTCTCTGCCTCAGCCTCCCAAGTAGCTGGGATTACAGGAGCCCGCCATCAACGCCCAGCTAATTTTTGTATTTTTAGTAGAGATAGAGTTTCACCATCATGGCCGCGCTGTCTTGAACCCCTGATCTTGTGAAACACTCGCCTCAGCCTCCCAAAGTGCTGGTATACTTTTAAAGCCCGGGAAACACTGCTCACCAGTACACCTGATAGAAAGTACCCATACCAGGCAGAAAGCAACACTACCACTTTGTCCATATAAATATGTTAGTGTAGTTTAATCTTCCTAAGAGATAACATTATAATCCAATAATCAGAAAACTAGCTTTGAGTATAATGTCATTTGCATTGTAATATTTGAAAAAAAAATCTGTGGCTTTATCTACATTCACTGTTCTTACTATTCAATGTATTTTTCCATGTACTATAAAGGAGATGAGTGTGGATTTCACCAGTTTGTCTACAATAGCAAAAATAGATGCTCATTCATCTTCTACTTTAGGTTATGTTCACTTAATTCACTGTCGTTAATGAAAAAAATCTATCCAAAAGCATTCTGGCATTTTCCGGCTTGCCACTGTCCGTCCTCTCTTGACACTCTCATCCACTCCACCCCCTCATTGCTCCTGCCCTACTTTATCCTCCTGTTCATTTGTCACTTACATATTTACTTCCCTGCACATTTTTTATTCATTTGTATTAATTTTTTTGATTAAAAACTTTAAAAGAAATGGTCAGGTTGATTGACGGCAGGCATTCTCTAAAGCTAAATCAGGAGGCAGGCTGTCATAGCTAGAGAGGTTTCAAAATAGACCAATTTGGAGCCTTTTTGAAAAAAAAAGAAAAAAAAACTAATCTGTTTTCTGATACTGTGATGGCTGATTTCAAAGTCTATCATCCCAACTGCCAGCTCTTATTTCACCCTGGCGTGGATTTCTGTTACACTGCCTAAGTGGGGGCCTGACACCCATTTACAGCATTCTCTGTCAGCAAAGACTCTCATGAAACATTTTACAGCTCAGGGCTTCATTTTGCCTAAGCATCCTATAAATATACATACATTTGTCGCTGGATCAAGTGGACAAGCCCTGGCATGACCATAGCAGATGCACATCCCTCCAACCGAAATATCCTTGACCGAGTAGTAATACTGCAAAAAGCAATCCAGACAGAAATCCTGTTAAGATGACTGCAAGGTGAAAGTAACAAAAGGGGACATTCAGTAAAAACTTTATTTTCTGCTTTTATCCTTAGTTTGAAGGACATTTGTGTTTCTTGAGGACAAGTGAGGACTCATGAAACCGACAAAGTAACTCCTAGCATTATAATCTTAGCCCAAAGGAAGAGTGCCTTTAATTTAAGCTAGGTGGCCATTTTAGAAATGTCTTTCTCCCAGCCAGCTATGGCTGAGAGTAGTTTTTATCAGGGGCTAAGGACAATTACTCTTCATAAAAGCTGTTTTACATAGTTTCTTGCAAGAAACCCTCTTTTATTGTGATTAAAGGAACTGCAGTATTCACAAATTATATGCATGCTATTTTACTTGATGGATTTGAAAAGAATCAACAAAATTTAGAGAGAAATTGTACTCAAAACAATATATTCCTTAACCATATTAAGAAGAAAATTGAAAAATCATTAACTGTAAGCTTGTTGTGCAGAACATTTGCATTTTTATATTATTATGTTCAAAAGTCCATACAATTACCTTTTTATATGAAGTTAACATAGAGCTATGTGACTAATTATTTTAATCTACCCAGCTATTTTTTAAGGATAATTATGGAGGCTGGACTATTTTTAAAATTTTAATTAATATGTATATAACATTTTATAATTGTCAGAGCACTTCAAATTATCATATTCAAATAACCATCTTAGTGTTAGATAGTTCTATTATTCCAATTATACACACAAAAGAAAAGAAAAACAGAATTAACAAGAGTATGTAGATGGACACATATCTGAGTTCCCTAACTAAAAAATCTCCCTTTTCCAATTTACTTCTTTGTTTCCTTTTATTTGTTTTTGTTATGTACATATAGTGTCTTTGAAAATATTTTCGTTAAGTTATCTTATTTGATATACCTAGACCTTGGAACTGGCTGGGGAGTTTGGATAGTAGAAAAATCTTTTTTTCTTTTAAACTCATCACTTAATAATATAGATTCAAATAGAGATATTTGCTTAGAAAGCTGATACCAGTATTTGTAAATGCTTTTAAAATTGGGAAATCTATTTTATATATGAATGTACAATTCTTTGCTTTTGAGTCATGAAGAGGAGATGAAATTTGCTATCCTATTTTTATATATTTAAATTTAGATGTTGTGTTTATTAAACTTGAGTACTTTCAAAAAAATATATTTGTATGTTGACTTACAGTGCACTATTTTAAAAGCTCATGTAAGATAAAGTTATAAATAATAGATGTGCACCCCAACACCCACTCTGCCTTCTGCAAAAGATGATAGAAAGAACACTAAATTATTTTCATTGATTTTTTTTCTCTGATAGATATACTGTCAAGAAAGATTAAATTTCACTCCAATATTATTTGGTCTTCCTTGGTGTATATGTTTAAGTCACGCCAAAATTAGAATTAAAAATGTTTTCTTAAACGTGAAAAATCTAAACATTGCTATAAAATAATAATTAGTTTTGCATGAGGCAATTGCCGTATGTTGAGATAAAATAAAGGTGAAATTATTTCAGATTTAGAAAATACAGGGCACTAAAACATCTGACATATGCTGTGTGAGACTAACTAAAACCTAAAAAGTTATCTTGTGATGATGGAGAGGTTGGGTGTGGGGAAATTAAGTAACGAGGAAAGAAAACATGTGAGGAGTATTTAGGATCTGTAACTATTTGCCCTAATGATTCGGCAATTTGACAACTGATGACAGTGGTTTCACCTTAGTGGGATCATTCTAGAATTAAGTGCTTTGTCCTACAATATTAATTTCTCCCTATAGTCCTCTTTCTTAGCTATACCTCTAGTCATACAGTAGATACTATATTCACATGAGTTTCCTTTATGGATTTATGGCTGAATTGACTTCCTTGGTATAAATGACTTGGTTGTGTAGCAGCAGATGTGGGAGGTGCCATAAACCAGTGAATGTGGTAGAAGGTAGACAGGAGGGAGTGCAGTTATCACTCATAGCAATCTGGGTTGATCATCTATCATGTAATCCCACAAATTCCTGTTTAAAACTGGAAGACAGCACTTCTGTTAGCTCTTCTGTTCAAAAGCTTTTGAAAAGATGCTTTAAACATTTTCCCCCTAATATTTTATTTGTAAAGGAAAATACAACAGTATGTAGAATCAGTTTCTCCTATAGCAGTGCATTTTAAAAATTATGGCTTTTGATTCATTAATCAAGCATAAAACCAAATTATTTGATGGTTCGCAAACCAGCAACACCAGCATCACCTGGAAATTCACTGAATTGCAGTGTCTTAGCCCTGCTCTCTACCTACTGAATCATAACTTATATTTCCACAAGATCACTGGCTAATTTCAAGCACGTTAAGGTTTAAGACATACTGCTCTCTGTATGCGTGTATGCGTGTATACTGGGTCAGTTGTGGCAAAAAAAAACTTTCAAAGTCCCTGCACATCCAGTTGTAACTAGTCAAAGCCAATTATAATAGTAGTACAGATCACCTCAAGTGACAGACTAATTTTATCCTGAAAAATAAGATTATTAACTAGACATGGTGATTCTCATGTTACAAAAGAAGAAATTAAAGTTTGAGAAGGCTAAAATGTTTGATAAATGTTACACATGTAATAAGTGGCACAGCTTGGATCTGAACAAAGGAAAGTCTGCCAAATTTTAAATAATAATTAATACAAAAATTTAAAATTCTAAAATAAAAAATTGATAATAACCAGTCCTACAAATCACTGAGAGATTTCCTTTAATAGTATTTAACAGACAAAAAAGATAAGTGGGATATCATTTGTAGGATCTAATATGGTTCATCATAACTTACTCTTCTTGTGACAATGGGGTCAATTTCTCTTGGGTCTTTGTGAGCAAACATCATCAAGTCAGCATTCAAGGTGCGGATCCTCTGAAATCTCAGGCGAATATAGCGAGCGGAGGTGAATTCCAACAGTTCAGGAGAAGGATCATCAGCACTTGGTCGCCCATTGATTAAAGAGATATGAATCTACAAAATATGAAAAAATGTTGACAATTAAGTTTACCAAAATTTAAATAGCAATTTTGTTTCTTTTTCTTGGAAAAATAAAGGTATCTTCTCATTCTTCCAATTAGTTAGGCAGATTCAGGTACATGCCTATGAACTGGCATCTAGTGAAGTAATTTACATATCTTATAGTCTTCTTAATACATGTATATGCAATTTGTTTGTTTATATCATAGGCATATCTCTATATACTTCAACTGTCTGCATTTCTCTGTTCTAAGGCATTGCATCAACTTGACCTTCCTATGATTTCCATAAATTCTTAAATTAATCATTCTTTTTCTGAAAATCATTGTGCCCGAACTTATTTAGGAATCTGGGGCATGGCAGGACATCAGAAAACTTGGGGGAAAAGTTACAAATATCATATTAAAAAAGGAACCCCTTAAGAACCTAAAATAATTCCATACTTGAAAGCATCACAATACATAGCGTTAAAATGTGGAGAACAAAAATTACATGGCAAACTAGACAAATCTATACTTACAGTGAGATATTTCACAAGGTTGTTTTAGATTGTTGTTATTTGTGTTTTTTTAGTAACTGATAGGGCAAGAAGATAAAAATTCACCAAGAATGTAATATACTCTATGAAAATCACACTAAAAAAAATATGTTAAACCTGAACGGAATGGTGAAATTTTTAGAACAATAATTTAGCACAGTTGACACCAGAAGAAATACAATTCAGTGAGACAATTTTCTATATGAAAAATAATTGAGAAATTGCCAAGAAACTGCCCTCCAAAGGTGTACAAAGCTGGCAGGCTCTCAAAGGGACTTCTCAAGAGCAAATAATTCTAATGAAGAATAGAGTGTGAGATAAAATAAAAAGCACTGTTAGCACCTACAAAGGGAGCATGTTTCTAATACCTAAAGAACTCTTGTAACTCTACAAAGAAAAGCACCAACAACATAACCAAATGCACAAATATATGAGGGCCTTATTCAAAGAAAAGAAAATTAAAATGGCTGTTAAACGTTTATAAGATACTGATCCTCCCTCATGATAGGAGAAATGTAAATTAAAAACACACTGATAAACTTCCCATTTTTTTCAGGTTTGCAAAACCCACAAATATTGGTAATAACCTCTGATGGTAAGACTAAGAGAGTAGATACATATCTCTTACATTTACAGTTGTAAGTGTAAAATGGTACAAATTCCTAAGAAACTCAATTGAGCAATAGCTATCAAAATTAGAAATGCACAGTAATTTTGATCTAGCAATTTCACTTCTCGGAATTATCCTACAGATACAAAATAATATAGATACTATATTACATGTGAACTGAATATGGCTAATGGATGGAATGTTTGCATACCCCTACTGAAATTCATATGTTGAAAACCTGATCCCAATGTGATGATAGTTGGGAGTAAGGCCTTTGGTAGGTAATTAGATTCTGAGGATGGAGCCCTCATGAATGAGATTAGCGACCTAACAAAAAGAGGCCAGAGAGCTAGCTAGCTCTCTTTCCACCATGTGAGGCTACAAGCAAGTCAGCAGTCTCCAAGCCAGAAGAGAGTCCTCACCAAAGCACAACCATGCAGACACCCTGATCTCAGCTTTTCAGCCTCCAGAACTACGGGAAATTTCTTTTGTTTACAACCCACCTAGTCTATGGAACTTTCTTATGGTCCCCATACTGACAAAGACACTGTTATTATTTCGCCATTTTTGGTCATATCAAAGGACTGGAAATAACCTAATATCCATCAATATAGGACTGGCTAAATAAATTATATATCTGTATAATGAATTATGTGCAACCATAAAAAAGAATAAGGAATAAATATACAGATAGAAAGAAGTATGTACTTTTACTTTTCTTTTTGTATCCTGTAAATGGATTATTACCTATGAAACAAATTGAATCAAACCAAAATTGTTAAAGAAAGTGAAATTGAGTGGTAGATTTTGAACTGAAAACACACACACACACACACACACACACACACACACACACACACACACAGACAGTGCTAAAGCGACAGGGATGGAAGAAGTGGGAGTCCTGTGTTGGGTGGGAGATGCTCGGGTACAGGACAGTGTGTGCACTGGGGAGCTGTGACTCAAGGTCACCCACTGGAATTTTCACCCACTTTTGTAAGATGATACATCATGTGTGTTAATTACATTTTTTTGACAGGAGAGGCAATGATATGTATTTCCATTTCTAACATCCTGCATTTGCATAATCCCAGGGAACCTTTTACAAAGTGACTGCCAATAAACTACTTGAGTCATCAGAGAAATATAGCAAACTGTGAGATGAAAAACTAATTCTGGTGTCACAAGGAATAGACTCAGAATGCCTCATGATAAAAATATGAATATGTTCCAGCTAATTGAATCTACCTTGTATACTTAGTAAGGAATAGAATTCAAGGTCTTCTAAAATGCTGAATCTGAAAATACTGAATCCCCTGTAATGTAGGAATTCTAAAAGAGTAAAGCAGATCTTGTATATTACTCAAGATCCACATTTCTAGCATCTAACAGGTGAGCCAGAAATGTGTTTAAAATTAGGTATCTTTACGTCTTAAGGAGGTAAGAGTTAAATGTTAAAAGAATGGATAAATAGACACAGGAAGCCACCAAAACTTGTTTCCCTTTGAGATTAACCTTGGCACCCAAAAAGTCACCAGTGCCATTGAATTCATGCTTACATTTCTATCAAATTCTCCCTTGACTGTCCCCCCAAATACCAATTGAAATAAAGGAGGAAATCACTACATGGCTAGGATTATACTTTCTGAAAGTTATTTGGGTTTATTTGGTGTGAATGCTGTGATGAATCATGTTTGTGCCATATAAAGAATCAGTAAGTTTCTCACTTAAACATACAAAGAATTTTTTTGGCGGGATGAGAAAGGTGTACACATTCTCATTTAGGTTAATAAACCGTATGATAGCTACATGGAGGATTCAGCAAAAGAACATTTCTCACAGCTTTGGTATTTTCATCAAGCTACTCTGCCAAGAGATCTTGTGAATATAGTTAGTCCCAAGCTGTTTCTGGAATAGAAAACAAGCCAGCTGTTTGGCGATGTTGTGTGCAGCTTCCTCCCACCGTTTTGTGTGTATTTTTTTCCCATTCTCTTTCAAAACAGATCATAATATTGGATAGGACATTTCCACTAGTACAGTGCGGTTTAATCCCAAGTCTGCTGGATAGTTTAGCATACTTCCTGATTTCCTATGGGGTGACCACTGGTAGGTGGTATCTATCTTCAAGGAAGATGAAATGTAGCTGTCCCCAAGAACACCACTGCCTTGCTGTGAGGACTTGAGAAATCTGTGGCCGCCTAGTGTCTTCCAAAGTGGTTTCTATTACATACGTGTTGGTGGGTGTATGTTCATGCTGTCACAGGAATTCATTCCAACTGAAAATATCAGCCTATGGATATCATTAACTGGTTTTTTAGATCTTAAAATTATACTTTTCTTTGAAATTAGTTTTGCAAGGCAAATAAAGGGGGTGAGAACCTCATTAGAAGCATCTCGTTTTATAACCAATGACTAAATCAATGTTATACTCTGCTCACCCAAATCATTCTGTTTTTACTAGTGTAAGCATACTATATAAATTATGTTTCCTTTATGGATTAGTAAGATCTCTGTGCCTCTGGCATTTTTAGTTTAGAATACATTTTTTAAATGATTTATACAGCAAATAATTAGATTTCTAGTATAGATGATTGCCTATTATTATGCTTGTCTATTTATGTTGCTATGTTTGTTTTAGAAAGCTGGAAGAGCTGTAATTCTAATACCTTCCCCAACACAAGTTTCTTGAGTGAATGGATGGATGCAAGAATGAAGGCTACTGAAAGATCATCAATAAGAATCAGAAACTTTGAAATAAGTAGCTGAAGTGGATAAAGTTGACGACTTGATGTGTGGTATGCTCTCTCTTAAAACATTTTTTTATTATCAATCTCTACAAGTGTGCCAATGAAACAGATTAAATAAATTGAAGGCAAGCTGACCCCAGGAGACAGAACAGTAAATCCATATGTATAGTTTAAGATTAAGGATGTATGGATATGGCCAAATAATTTTTATGTAAATGAGTGGCTGAAACATCTGGGAACCTCTTAAATCCAGTCGTGCTTAATATAGTATTATTTGGAGAGAAATAATAAGATTATAAAGAGAACTTTGAAAAATAAGCCTAATCTCTTCTATTTTGACTATGTGAAAAAAAGGAGTACCATCACTCCTCATCAGTTACAGTTTCAGGGGATCTGTGAAGACTGCAGGACCTCCTGTGGATGTCAAAATCTGAGGATGCTCAAGGCCTTGACATAAAATGGCATAGTATGTGCGTATAACCTACAAACATCCTTCAAAATTATTTAAATCACCCCTACATTACTTCAAATACCTGATACAATGTAAAGGCTATGTAAATGATTATTACACTGTATTACTTAGGGAATAAAGACAAAAAAAAAGTCTGCACATGTTCAGTACAGATGCAGGTTTTTTCCTAATATTTTTCGTCTGCAGTCAGTTGAAGCCATGGATGTGGAATCCACAGATTTGGAGGTCTTACTGTACAGGTTTGAAGAAGCTAGGTGAGCTGTAGAAAGATCAAGGAAAGGGAACAATGCAAGAACTGGTCATTGGGTTTCTAGCACAGAGTAAAGGCTCTGAGTCTGGCTCTGGATGGTAAATAGGTACATTTTGATTCATTCCTCCATAATACTCCTATTATTCCTTTGGTCTTCCTCCATTCCACTGAAACTTCTCTTGGGAAAGTCACCAGTGTCCTTCATATTACTACTGACATGTCCAATTCTCAGTTCTCGCCATACTTAACTTATTAGCAGCATTTGAGACAACTGATTACTCCATTGACTTCAGGACACACTGTTCTTGTTTTCCTTCTACCGCTTAAGCTACCCCTTTTCAATCCCCTATCACTGCTACCTTTAATCCTCCCTAACT